TTGTACCTACTACCTATCGTAAATCTCAAAATCTCTGGCCCCAGAAATTAGCTTTGTTTTTAATTTTTCAAGAACTTTATACTTAATTTTTATTAACAAAATTTGTACTAAAACCTTCAGCAGACTGTCAGGTATTAGGTATAACATTAAACATTTCGGCAAAATCGGATCAGTAGTTTTCTCGGTTAGCGCGGTCGTAAAAAACCCCTCACAATTTTATATAGGTAGTAGTATTGGGGTATTAGTATTGGGTTAGGTATTAGTATTGGGTTTTGGTAGGTATTAGTATTGGGGCCCAGCCAAAAAATCCAATACTCAAACGATTCAAGCTTTTCAATCAATCTGTCTCCGTATCATTGGTAAAGCTCCCTGGTACGTAACGAACAAATTACTCCACGATGAACTCCAAATCAAAACCATCCACGACACAGCCACTAATTTTTACAAAAGGTTTCATGGGAAACTCCATAGGAACCACAACCACCTCATTTCACAACTGGCCTCCAAAATGCTTCCTGACAACCCCACAAGACGTCTCAAACGAAACTGGTGCAGAGATCTTCTTAATCAATAAAACACATTTATACATTATTACATATAAAAATTAATTTCACTGTAAAAGGGTGACTCGACTGCGAGCCTTCCTACACGTCATTCAAAGCCATTGTTTTTGTTTTTAGCTATACTTATCATATTTACTTATTGTATATAATGTACAGATTGTAAATTTTCAATAAACGCCATTTAAAAAAAAAAAAAAAAGGTAGTAGTATAGATATAGGGCAACTATATAAAAGCAATGCATCCGAATTGAATGACAAAAAAAAAAATAAACATAAATAATTGGAACGTCTTTGTGACGATTAAAAAATCTTAAATACACAACTTGATTATTTTTATTTTGGACTTTTCTTATTTTTCAAAAAACAAAAAATAAATCATTAAAAATTGTATATAAAAATTTGTTTTAATTTATTTGTTCAAGTTGTAGGCGTACAACACGCATACCTAATTAGGTACGTATGATAATAGTAAAATATTTTACAAAGCAATCAATTATTGTGCAGACATCTGTAAGATGTATAACATATTAACATGCAAGGCAGATAGACCCCTGTAACAGCCAAGAGGTGGCATATATTACAGGCGGTGATCCATTTGACATTTCACATAAGACACTGATTATTTCGAAAAGTTTTAACTTTTTAACATTTTTTTTTTTTAAATATTGTAATTTAATGAAATCTACAAGTTATTAATATTTCTAAAATTTTAACATTTTTTGTTATATGATGAACATGTATCAACTTTGGATTTTTAAATGATAACACCTATAATTAATACCAACAATTTATAAAACTATTTTTTTTAAGAACTTCACCGTTTAAATTTTTTATTTCAATTCAATAGATTTTGAGATATGACCATTATGTAGCCAGGTAGGTATATAAAATTAATTTACTATTTAGGTACTTATTATAGTAGTATCAGTAAACCTATATGGTTATTTTTAACCATATTATAATAATAAAAACTATTATAATAATATACTCTATAATAGACATTATATACCTATATACCTGGGTATAAAAGTACAATAAATTATTATCTATATTAGGTATATAGTAAATTGAAGTTCGAATTAATTGATTTATTTAATATTGGATTTATTGGATTATAATATCGGACGTGAACAGAATTTTATTCAGTATTTCAGTGTGTGCATAATGCATATTATGTATCAATGCGTGGGTGTGTGTTTTTATTTTATTTTATACCAATTAATAAGTGCATAGAGTATACTGCAGTTATATTCTCTGTCACGGACTTCTAGAATAAAACCAACTCCAGTTACAATAAGAGCGTGTTCTCTACCTACGACCTACTTAAATAGTAAATAGTAAATACCTACCTACAAAAAGTAAAATATAAACGGTAAACGGTAAACTTGTCTTATACATATTGACATATTGTACTACGAAAATGTGTATATTATTATATTAGGTATCTATAATATTGATCAATTAATTTATTTTGTATAGTTGAAGAATTCATATTATGATTTACGATTGTATAATATAAATTATAAATTATAATATGCCAATATGGTCAGTGATCGCGGAGTCATCGCCAATCGCCACTGTAATAATATTATTGTGTTGTTATTATGAGTTTTGGTATAGTGGAAAACCACAATGTTTTATAATATTTGTTATCGTAATGTCTGCGCTCACTGCGCCGCTACCTCATAATATCTGCAGTCTGTTTTCATTGCAGTGTGTTAAAAGTGCTAATCAAAGCTTTTATGTAAGTATTAAATATTATATACGTTTAAATAATAAATCTTTCTCATAGGTAACTATTAAAAATAATATTTAAATTAAAAAAATAAATTTCCTATCTTATGTGTTGTTATTGTAAGACTACTGAGAATATTGAGATCCTAATATAATATTATTACTATCACTTTTGTATTTAGTGTTTTTACTAATTTTTAATAATAGGTATTAAATGGGATTTATAGGTAAATAAATTATAATCTTATTTATATCAGGATAAGTCTATATGGGATAATATGTACTATAACATATTATAGGCATGTTATAGGCACTAATAATACACATTATACAAGTATAGGTACTTACCTAATATTATTTTTGCCTACCTAGGTTAGTAAACTTTTTTTTATGTTTTATTTCAAAATTAACATATCCAACTTAACAGGGACCTACTATGATAATAATAATGCATTCTTATATTATTATGTTGTAGTATAAAATGAATAGTTCCTTAAGCTATAGAACAAAACGTCGAAGAATAGCGAATGAACTATTAGCACTAGAAAGCTCTGATGATGATAATGTATTAAACACTGTAGCAACAACTTCTTCAATTTCAAATTCTACTGTATGTTCTCACATTAATTTTGATAATAATTTGAACATTAGTCAACAACTATTATTAAACATTCCTTTCAATGACCAAAATCTTAAAGATTCAACAGATTCAATACCTACAGCTAGTGATTTTATTAAAAACATAAATTGTACTAATAAAGAACAAAATTTTAAAGACGGTCTTAGGAAGTGGGCTACAGATTACAATATACCACAAAATGCTCTTAATGCTCTTCTTAATGTACTTAAATGTGATGCTGGACTAACATTTTTACCTAAGGATTCTCGTACTTTGCTTCAGTGTAAATCTACAAAAGTTTCAAATATACGAAATGTAGAACCAAGAGGTTATTATTATCATTTTGGTCTAAGTGCAGGTATAATGAAATGCTCATTTCTATTTCCATTAACCGATATTATTAAAATAGCTATTGGAGTTGATGGATTACCCTTGTCTGCTAGTAGTTCAAGTCAATTCTGGCCTATATTAGCATATATAATGCCTCATCATGAACATGTTTTTCCTATTGGGATATACTATGGACAAGAAAAACCTCGTAATAGTGACGAATTCTTAAAAGATTTTATTTCAGAAGTAATTTTACTTACTACCAATGGTATTACAATTAATGGTTCAAAAAAAAACATTGTGATCGAAGTTATATGTTGCGATGCTCCAGCTAGGGCATTCCTATTAAAAGTGAAAAATCATTCTGGATTCTTTTCCTGTACACGGTGTACAGTTGAAGGTGATTATCAACAGAATCGTGTTTGCTTTCCATACTTACCAAATGGTAGCACTTTGAGGACACATGATGATTATGTATCAATGAAATATGAAGAACATCATACATGTGACAGTACTTCATGTATTTCATCAATTCCAAATGTAGATGTTGTGCAGTTGTTTTCTATAGACTATATGCATTTGGTGTGTTTAGGCGTTATGCGTAAACTAATTCATATTTGGATGGGCAATACTAAAGGGCCAAAGAATGTACGAATACCTAGCTGGAAAATTGATCAGATCAGTAATGCTCTTCATGATATAAAAAGAAATCATATTACAAAAGATTTTTTTCGTAAACCAAGGGCACTTGTTGAAATAAACAGATGGAAAGCAACTGAGCTCAGACAGTTTCTTTTATACACTGGTATAATTGTTTTAAAAAATGTTTTGTCTGATCTATGTTACCAAAATTTCTTAGTACTTAGTATTAGTATGAGAATTCTTTTAAATACCTATCATAATCAGTATGTTAACTATGCACAAAAGTTGTTAGATTATTTTGTAAAAACATTTGATCAGTTATATGGATCTCACTTAATTTCTTTTAATGTACATGGATTATTACATTTAACAGAAGATTATACAAAATATGGCCCACTTGATAATTCTAGCACTTTTCCATTTGAAAATTACATGAAGGATCTTAAGAGAATGCTCCGTAAACACGATAAGCCTTTACAGCAAGTTGTGAAACGATATGAAGAACAATGCAAAAATATCAAGAATGATAATCCAAAAAATAAAGATATATTAAATTTAACTGCAAAAAAACCTGATTGTTTTGCTTTGACTAAACAAGGAGAAGTAATTCAAATTGAATCAATCGTTACGTCAAAAGAAAATCATTCAGACACTGACAATTTTGTTGGAAGAATATTCTCAAATAAATATGATTTCTTTGAAATTCCATTTAAATCGTCTAAAATTGACATTTTTATAGTGGAGAATCTTTCTCAAAATCTAAAACAATGGACAAAATCAGATATAAAAAATAAATTATTAATTTTGATCTATTTTGAAAATAAGCAAATAGTTATACCTATTTTGCACACTTATTAATGTTTATTATATTATATAGGTACCTATTGATAGTTAAATATTTGAAATTTATCTTGTATAATATTATAATTTATTGTTATTAAATTTTGTATTATAAATTATTTTATATAGGAAATTTATTTTTATTTCGTTTGTATTATATATTATATATATTATTATTTGTATAAGTATTTTAATTTTAAAATACAATATTTACCTAACAGTATAATTGAAATAATTATTTTTCTCATCAATTTATATTTTAGTTTAATATAATGTGGACCATTGTGTGTTTTGAAACCGACAATACAGTAGATGTCGTTCCTGATTTTTGGTATAAAAATGGACTCTGTGAGTGGCCCAATAGAAACAACAGAATAGATTCAAAAACATCAGTTAAACGTCGAGTTAATCCAGATGAAATTCATTTTAAAAAATATAAAGCTCGAGCCTTATTAACTAACATTGGTGAGTCAAACAATAAAGCAATTATAATTAGTACATAATATAATAAATAAATAACTTAACATTTGTTTTCAGGAACTTATCAAGAAGCTGAATGCAAAGCAACTAAAGCTCAACTCACATCAGACCTTTCATCTAACGATGATGACAAAGGTACTAAACAATATAGGAAAATGAAAAATATTTTACCTGAAAAGACAAATGAATTATTGATATCAAAACTACCTAATCCTCCAGAACTTGAAGAATCTGAATCAGGTACCTACAAAATAAACTCATTATTTTAAAATTGTATGTAGGTATAGATGCTGTATAATTGCTGCTGAGGGTTGAGTTTATGTACCTATACCAGTTTTTTTAATTTAAATAGTATTCTACATTAAATAATGTACTATTCAAATTTCAGAATCAATAGAAGCTGATGATATTGACAAAGACAAAGATTATAATAATGTACCGGAAAAAAATATTTTTACTCAGTTGTCATGGGATAGTGAAAATAGTTCAATCAATACTACGATGGACAATGAACTGCAGCCTAAAAGAAACATAACATATGAAAATTCTGTTCAATCTATAAAAAGAATCAAAACAGCCCATGTGGCTACTACCTCAGACACAAAATATGAAGAGAATGTAAATGAATGTCAAAACTCACAACCTGAAATGTTAATTCCTCTAAGCACTTCAACACCAGAATATGAAAGTGATCAAGGTATGTTGCTTTTTCAGTTAGACGAATAGTTAATATTACTTAAATTATTTTCTTGAACCATGAATTTATTGTTTGTATTATATTATATTATTTATTGGAGATTAATACTATGTTTCAGCGTTTAAAAAGTTTTATAAAGATCTCTCATCACTTTAAAGTATGATGTAGAAAATGTTCAAAGGCGTTTAGATGGATTGGAAACTTTACTTGAGAAAATTAATGAAAAACTTGTTATGCAACCAAATATTATGATGACAGATGCCAGCGATGAAGATATAATTTTTATTGAAAATGAAACAGATCTTAAAAGGATGGAAGATAAACTAATAAACGATTCTCTATATAGAAATGCTGTGGTATGTACCTACAATTAAAATTACTACTTTTATATAAAATATACTCAAAAACACACATATTTACAGTAAAATGTAATCACTTGTTTAACATGTACTTTGAAATAGGCAACTCAAGTAAATACATAAAGTTTCTTGCCTTAATAATAAGTAGGTAAATCAACCCAATATAGTCATTATAGTTTAAGATTGGATTTTCAAACGCATAGGTAGTTATAATATTATAAGTTTAATTGCTGTTCAAATTCTGCGTTAGAAAGTAAAATCTTAAACTATATAATGAGTATATTGGGTTGATTAACCTATATATTATTTTTTTGAGTGAATAATAATATAGTATAACAATATAATATTATAATTACAAGTAACAATTAAGTTGAGATCTAAGCTCAGTAAACTGTAGGCTCAGCATATCATGCTTGGCTCTGTTAGTTTAAAAATTAGAGTGAATTGACCTCCTATAAAATTTAAAAGTAAGATTAGTATCTAGCTAGTGAACCTTATAGGTTTTTTTTTAGATTTTAATTTTGAAACAAGTTATGAATATTTTAAAATGCACAAACAATTTACAATTTTAATAAATACTAATAAAATTTGCTTTAAAATTCAAATATATAAAAAACCTGTGAGTTTCCCTAGATAATATTCTTATTTATACATTTTTTAAGAGGTTAATCAGTGCCGTATTAAGCCAAATTGCCGCCCCGGGGCAATATAAAATTTGCCACCTCTATATATTTAAGAAAAATATCATATAATTTTCACCTCTCTTTTTTCGTTATCATAAACACAGCAGAATTATATTTTAATACGTTTCTCCGTTAGTTTTAAAATATTAAAGAGTTACCTAGTAATAAGTACTTAGTAACCTATACAATGAATTTATCCTTAATTTTTCTTTTTAAACATATTATTTATTAAATATTCATAATACAATTAATTATAATTATAATTAAAAATTAAAAATAGTAAATTAAAATACATTTTTATTCAACTTAAATTAATTTTTTTCTTGATTTCAAAACTGCAAATTTATGTATTATGTCCGACCAATCAATATGTTGTAAAATATCGCTTTCTATATTTAATATGGATAATGATGACATCTTTTCATCAACTAAAGCAGACCATAGATCATTTTTTATTCTTTTTAATACAGAAAATGACCGTTTTCTCCACTTGCATTGGATGAAGCCATACAACAAAATATTCGCAATACTATTTCTACATTTGGAAATGTTGTCAAAAGGGCAGAATTTGTGAGGCATTTTAAAAGACTTATAAAAGATGATTTATCTTCTTTTGAAAACAAATTAAGAATATTTTTAAATTGTACCAGTTATTCTATGAATGTCTCGTTTAAATCTTCAGGATATATTTTCACTAGGTGTTTAGCTTTTTCACGTATTCCGTTAGTATCCAATGTATGTAATTTTAATATAAATCCAAAATTATTATTTATATCAGTGTAGGACAGTTTTCTTTCACGTAAATTCACAACTAGCCTGTCAATAATAACATAGAATACTTCACATTTCATTTTTTGTTCTTCTTCCAATAATTCATCGTTACTTTCAGTTTCATCAAAAAACTTCTTTCTCTTTTTTTGTCTCACGCCATCCTAGGAAAATAATTGTTTTGAACACATCGTTTTTGCTTGTTCTAAGTACACATCAAATCTTTCTCTAAAGTCTTCCACATATTTTTCTAAAGATTCGTACAGTGTAACAACTGTGGCTAGGTCTATATCTATAGACTGTAAACTTATACTTGTTGCGTTAAATCTTTGAAGTATAGGTGTCCACATACAAATCAAAAAACAAAAATTTAAACTCTCAATTTTATTTTTAATTGAATGAGCTTCGTGTCTTGTATCTTTTTTTTGTCCTTCGTCATCTTAAATAGTAGTTAAAGCACTGAGTACTTGTGCATAACCATTACACATTGCTTTACATACATCGTACCTGGATGACCAAAGAGTTTAACATAGTTATTATTGAATCATTGATAGATAAAATTATTATTGGTATTAATATTTTTAATATAATAATAATTATTTTAAAAATTTAATACGAAATTCGTAATATTATAATATGATATATTTTCTAAAAATCTGCCGCCCCTCAAATCACCTTAAAATTGCCGCCCCGGGGCAATTGCCCCCCCTTGCCCCCCGTTAAATGCGGCTCTGAGGTTAATTCTCTCTAATTTTTAAACTAATAGAGCTAAGCTTGATCTGCTGAGCGTACAATTTGCTATGTTATGCGTTTGTAAGACAGAGAGAACGTATAACACCCTCTCTTAACATAAAATTGTCTTGAATTTGATCTATTATTATATGTTGCCCCCATACAAAAATAACTTAAAAGAAGGTCCAAACAATTGCTGGGTGTATTATTATTTGGGAATGGTAAACTATCCTACATAGACATATTGTTAACTCCTACACAAAAGATAGTGTTAGCTCCTACAAACAATAGTACAATAATAGGTTTTACAAAAACCTCAATTTCATTTTTAAAAAGGTGGACAAGTGAGTACCGCTTGTACTGCTGTTGTGTCCTCCTAACATTATACTTAAATAAATTATCAAATTTTATCATTTCTTCCAATTTAAGTTGTTCAATTATAATACATGTCTTGCAATATAGGTATACGCATTAATACATATTATACAAAAATCATTTCAGCTACCTATATAAATAAAAAATTAAATAGCAATTATTTTATTAAAATAAATAATTTACCAAGTAAATTTGATATTACCAAGTAATTTGGTTCAAGTTATCATTTTTAGCTTTTGGAGTTTTTCAATTTCAAAATCTTGTTTTCAAATAAAATGTTGGAGTGTAGGATATTATCCTTTTTTCAGGTAAAAATGTCCATGTAAGAGATATTACAGTTTTTTTCAATTTAATTACTAAATACAAATTTTATATTATATTTTTTCTACATTTATCATCCATCTCAATTATTAATATTCATATTTTAATTTGACTACCAGGTTTCAACTAACCTTAATATTATTATTAATGACAGATTATAGCCCTATATATAATAGTTATTTGAATACCTATAATAATACCTAATAATACATTTATAATATTATAATATAAGGAGTAAGGACAATTCATTATACTCAATTTTATATGAATTACCCCATTAGCTGTATCTGATTCCCTATTGTCACAATAATGATAATCAACTCAAATGTGTAATATTAATAAATATCATGTATTTGTGAATTTTATAGATCAGAACTTTGTCGCGTTTCTTAGGCAGTAATTTGTCAGAAACTATTAGGAAGATGATGCAAAAGTTGTTTAGCGATTCATTTTTAATGAATTATTCCTTCATTGGTTTTAAGGGGAAAAACCAATTTTCAACTTTACAAAGCTGTACTGTTATATTTGGTAAGCTAAAATAAATATTATATTTATATTTTATATAAATACATATAATAAGTTAAAAAACTGTTATGAAAATCAACTTATACACTAATTATGTACACTAAAACGTGTTATATATATTGTATAAACCATTATAATTTAAATGCAAATAATATATATTATAGAAAGTTTGTATTTGTATTTAATGTAGATATTATCGTATGTGACTGTTTTAATGATTTTTAATTTATTTTTTTTAGAAGCAGTTCGTTCTACAAAAAAGTATTCGGATGTTCCAAACATAGATATAGAAAAGCCTGTGAAAAACTGGATGGGCCAAGCTACACAGAGAGAAAAAATTAAAAAACAAAAACTGGCTATACTAAATAATTAATACATTATTGTTTATTATTATGATAAATAAATATTTTAATTAAATACTAATATGATTTTTTTTTTTTAAATTAAACCACCATTTTTCCTTTTCATATTCTGTTTATAGCATAATATATTTTAATAAAACTTCTTGCAGAATATATCTCAAATCAATGTATAATAAATTTAAAATGTTCAAGTCTAAATACATGAATTTGTTAAACAACATAATGAAAAAAAAAATTAATACATAGGTATTATAGGTACACAACCAGGTTTAACATATTATTATTGGTTATATAATATGTTTAGTAGAACTAATTTATTGTCCGTTATAATATAATATAACTATCTTTATAGTTAAATAACTTAAGAAATATTTGATAGGTACTAAATATTGAGAAATTACATAAATCAAACATTGCAAAAATATATAGGTACAGTATTGTAGAAATATACTGTGGTAATTTTGTGAAAATATATATCTAAAATGATGTGAAAATATATAGCTACAATTTTTTAAAAATTTATCTCAACAATATTATGAAAATATAGGATTACAATATTATGAAAATATATAGCAATAATATTGTGAAAATAAATAGGAAGAATATTGTGAAAATATATAGCTACAATATTGTGATAACGTTTAATCGTCTGCCAAAAAAGGTTTCTAAAATTTTTTGACAATTTTTTAAAATATTGTGACAGTTTAAATCAAATATTTTCATTAGTATTAACAATATTTCCAAAATATTTTGAAAATACAATTTTGCTATGTGGGTTACGATCGTTATTGCACGTTCTAGAATATTCGATACCCCGTCCTAAAACTGAACTTCATTATCGATTACTTATACCTTTAATCTTTAGGTATCAGATATCTTGCTCATAAACATATTTATAGATATTAAAAATCTATCTAATGTAAAACTGTGCAGCAGAAAAACATAAAAGTTGTTATAATCGAATTTTAGTATCATACATAACATTTACCAATTAGTTTGGTGAATATCGCAAATAACCGGCGAATATCGAA